AGAATCTAGCAGTTTTCTGCCGGAAAATCTGGTCACCCTGAAAACGACCACATCTCTGCATCATATCCTGTTACCAAAGGCTTCAGTTTATCCTCCTCCGTCGGTTAAAATAAGGTAAACTCATTTAAATTTAGATCATTTTTTACGTCAGGAAAGGATAGCTCAGGTTGCCAAAGGTTTAATTGTGTGTTTATTTTTTGTCTGTGTATTTCACCCCACAATAGCTCTCGTCATCAAAGCCCTGCCCACTGTGTACGATGATTGTGGTTGCCAGTGGTAGTGTGGTAGTGGGGTCATATCTTCATGTGCTTCCCCTCCAAAAAAATAATATATATAATAATAATAATATTCTCTTAAATCAACATTAAATAAATGAGTAATACCTATTTATATCAATGTTTTCTATTCATGTCCTCTATTGAATGTCTACTACTGTTGCTGACACACTTTAATACACCCTGTAATAGTTCCCCTTGTAGCTATTAATGAGCGATATACTGTAATTCTTCCATCAATGGCTGTAGTCAATGATACATAGAAAACTGATTACAGTACCTGGACTTATGGCATGACTGATACACAATTATGTTCCTGGCAAAGACAACAACAACAGGTGTTTCTGAGTGGCAAGGATGACAATTATATTAGATACATATAAACTTTAAGTGCATTAAGTTATTCAAATTTGAGTTAATGGTAAAAAAAAATGTTCCGAGCAAATTGGTATCTAATTGGTCAGTTAATTTTTAGACTCAAGACAACTATCATACACTAAAACTACAGGATTTTTTGTTTTTATAAGAAGAAACTAAAATATAATCAGACTTATTTATACTGATTTTTAGGATTTTGTTTATTGCACGTCCTAAAGTAATCATTTCGTGCTCTCGAGTATTTTATTTTTATTCTTCTCATTCTTGTTTGACATTCGTATTCCGACTTTAGGTACAGCTCCTTACTTAAATAAGCTAATATGGTATCGTATCTTGATTAAATGAACTAATCATGTACACTTTCCTTATAAAATGAGCTAATAAGGTACAACTTCTTATCTAACTGAGTTATTTTGCTCAAATTAAGTGCAAGTTTTTTCCTTCACTCTCACTCTTAATTCTCAATCTCTCAAAATGATGAAATATAAATTAATCTTATCGAATTCCAAAACAATAGAGAAAGTGACACCTTTAGCTATAAAACGTCTTCCTGAAGCCTCCAGCTGCCGCCCCGTACATAATTACACTTCTTCACTCATCGCCCCCCGTCTCCCAGGAACAAACCACTGAAGTCACACTTGTCATCACCAACATCCTCAACACCCCTCCAGTCCCTCGCAATTGCATTCGTGTTGTCTGACCTCTGTCCTTTTCATGGCCAGCTTAACCCAAACAACAAATTGGATGACTCCCTCTCCCCCCCCCCTGCAGAACATAAGGACCACTTTGGTGAGGGTCATCCACCAATTGTGAGTTAAGGAGGAGGTTAAGAGAGGCTGGTGGGATGGTCGAGGCTGGTTGGCTGGCCCACCTGCTGCTGGCTGACCCTGAAGGCTAACAAGGAAGGTCCCCATTAGCGCAGCTCGTTGCAGGAGGTGGTGTGAGTGTTGCTGGGTGTTCGCCCGGCCCAGCAGGACGCACGGTACTCCTGCTCTCTAAATTGCAACATCAATTACTCAGTGAGTTTGATTGACTGTGTACGCACAATCCATTCCCTCTCGTTCTATAGAATGAAACGCAAGAACAGACCCACACCATAAGGTACACAGATAGAAAACACAGTTAGGATCTGAACAAAGGCAAGAGCAAGCAGACACACAGACAGAGACAAGCACGGACACGACGACTACTGTTGAACTTCCTGGGTGCGCTGTGTATGTTTCCTACCAGACTCTCACAAGGGTTTACTCTCTCTTACACCTATATGTCTGTTAATGTATGATGGTATTAGTTCCTTCGTCGGGGATTATCAAGAACAATATAAGACGACGATATCGGTCGTTCAAGAGAGAAAACGAACCAGAGACGGTTGTTAACAAAATATAATCTTTCTATTAAAAACAAATACTAAGAGAATACTGATATTTTGTGAATTTTAAAAGCTGTGGTATAAATTTTATAAACAATATATTTCCTTGGAGATCGCATGAATGTTTGTATAAAAAAAACTACATTGTGCTGACTTATCGATGTGCGAGGTTTCCCACAAGTGAGGATAATGTTTACTGATATATGAGAGAGAGAGAGAGAGAGAGAGAGAGAGAGAGAGAGAGAGAGAGAGAGAGTCGAAAAAAGTGAGAAAGAAAACAAAAGAGCTAAAGATAGAGAACAGAGTACACTGTATAACGAAAAACTCGACCCCTTTACTTCAGGTAACTTAATGAACGGTGTCTTGCTATATAAAATACAGTGTGTCTAAAAAAATGTATGCACGCTTCCTTACAGATATAACGTGACTGTTTATAACCTCTCTCTCTCTCTCTCTCTCTCTCTCTCTCTCTCTATCTTTCTACTTTTTCTCAATCTCTTTCTCTTTCTCTAACTCTATTTTTCGACTATCTCTCTTTCTTGCTCGATATTCATTCCACTGGTTAATTATATTGACTACACACCTGTATCTACCTGTATTTTGCTCGAATCAGGTTATTCTTGTTTCAGCCAGCTTCTAATTTCTTCACTGACATAATGTTCATATTCATTGGTCTGGTTCTATGAATATTTTTTGGGTTTCTAGGTCTTTTTTTATAATGTGGTTTCTACTGTCCTTGTCTGTGATAAGATTTTGTTTTCTAATTCCTTGTTTGTGATTTGTTTGTTTTTTGGTTTTGTGATTAAATTATTGTTCTATAATTATTTTTAGTTCTTGTTTTTTCTGATTATATATACTTATTAAATTTCTTGTTTAGGTGTTTCTTCACTCTTGTTATTATATTTTAAAAAAATCTTGGTACCTTTGTGTTCTCAAATATCTAATTGTATACTACAATGGGATTTGGGTATTTTAAATGATACTCAATCAACCACTTGCAGTCTGGGAACTCCCTGTGTCAAGTTACACTAACAGGTGTGTGTGTGTGTGTGTGTTAGTCTACGCTATACAAACGAATTTGATAGTCTAACAGAGACATCTAGTGGTGGGCTACGTCAACAACGAAGCTCGCAAAGTTTCCCTCCTGGCCACAAAGGTATTGAGTTGTGGGTAATCAGTGATCAAGTAGTCGCTAAAGTTCTAACAGACTACTAGTAAAATGTGAGTCCAATTATAACCTTAAAAAATATATATTATAAGAAACAAACTAATGAGAATTAAAGCAAGATAATAATAAAAAAATAAACTACTTATATTTATGGAACGAAAATAAAGAATTCTGACGAAGGTGAATCATATTGATAATATAGTTGATGTACTGAAGGTGGAAAAGCCCGCCTAAAACTCGCTATAAATAAACGCTGATAGACAGAACTCATCAGTTGACATAATCCAGTGGAACTCCTGCTAAACTTACCTGAGGAATGACAGTGTTCAGTACCGAGCTGCGGGACAGTACTGTATGGTGAGCTGTGTGACCCATTAGTGTTTAGTACCGAGCTGCGGTAAAGTGGTGTGTGATCCTCTCATCCAGAATACAACTGAGTATACAGTAGGTTGAAATGTTGTGTGATTAACGCTGTTATTGTTTTTTGTTTTTATTTGTGTTTAATTTGGATTTTGGTCATTGTGACTAACAGAACCATGAAAAAGGAAAATATTTATTTAAGTTTCTAAAGAATATTTTTCGACTTTTGAAATTTTAAGACAGTGAGGGGGATGGAAATGATCTGTTTTTCAATGATGTGTTTATTTATTGTCCAGTGATTACGTTTGTAGATCTTAGTACATAAAATTATCTAACGTCAAAACACTATCAGAGACTTGCTTGAAACACTATACATACAGACACTCTCCTACTTCCCGGGACACACTTTTCTAGCACAAGTTGTTCCATCTACTCATAAGTTTCACGTTTCCCGGATGAAAAGCGGACCACCACTAACCTATTAACATCAATAAATAAGTAGTCTGCTCTCACACAAGGCTAAAGTGAATTTAGAACTCGATCTTGGGTGGGTGTGTGAGAGTCGGGTAGCTACAGTTGCTGTGTGTGCGTTTCTCCCTTTACGGCTGCTTGGCTGAGAAGAAAACACAAAAAATGTCTCATATCCAGGCACTTTCACATATTGCGAGAGGACAATTGTGTACCACCGCCTTACTCCCACCAGTCTCACGCGTTATTTCCTCTGCTTCAGGAGTTTTAATTAGACTGTATTACCTTCCTTACTTGTGTGGGGTTGTGTCTCATCCATTATCCGTGTATATGTGTGTGTGTGTGTGTGTGTGTGTCCCTCCTCTCAATGTTCTTGTATATTCTATTGCTAATTTTAGTGTCTTAGTAATACACTATATACAGGTATTCTGTATAGCCACTACTGCAGGTCATTTTGGAGATGATGATTTAACTTAAGATGATAAACAAGTCTGATGGCAGACATATAGAGGAGTGTGGCAGACATATACAACAGTGTGGCAGATATATACAGCAGTGTGGTAGATATATACAGCAGTGTGGCAGATATATACAACTGTGGCAGGTATATACAACAGTGTGGCAGATATATACAACAGTGTGGCAGAATATTCCAGTGTGGCAGATATATACAACAGTGTGGCAGATATATACAACAGTGTGGCAGACATATTATAGGGAATACTATAACTTCATCGATAAAAGATAATAATGATATAATGATATATTAGTTGATATAATGAAAAGATAAATAATAATATAACCAATTGCTTCATGTCTCGGGTATAACGAGAAGCAGGAATGATGATTACAAAGGACAAATATTTCTCAGGGGACATTACAAGACAATATTAATAGTGTAGTAAAAAAAAAACATAACGGGAAGAAATATTTAATGTATAAAGTGTGTTTTATAATAAGTGTCGTCGACGTCATTTAAGTGAAGTTGAAAACACTTAAAAGCTTCAGCAATTATCATAAATTTACACTAATAAACATAATAAATATTTATAATTATTATGTACTATAGGTTAAAGGGACTTATTTAATATAATATAGATAGATAATTTGCTCTAGTGATTTATATTTATCTTTGTGTCTGTGTAGCTGCTTGTCCACAGTCCCTTTTCATTTAATAGAGAACTTTTCGTGAATAGGTACGTTGATCTTAGTTGATAAACACTTAAAAAAGAACATTTACTAAAGATACAATATTTACATAGAAAAAAAAAAATCATGGTTAACATTATTTTGTACAATCAACCCTGAGGTGTACAACGTCTGTATTTATCCGCCGTCAATATGTGGAGCTATAATAGTTACCCGCTGCAGCATCACAAGTCTTCTCCGCGCTTGTTTTTGCTGCTTTCATTTGGCTAAGGAACACAAAACATCTTAGTCAATATATGAATGGTCCTTGTTTGCTCTCTGTGGTCGCCGCCATCTTGCAGTCTTCTCCCCCTTGGATAGACCACAACACAAATTACAAGAACCAACACTTATTCTAGATGCCACTGGAGTTCTGTACTCTTAGAACTGAAGAAACGGGCGGCATCTGTACCCATCTGAGAGCTGCTCGAAGTCTGTGGCGATTGAAACCACGGACTGTTAGATGGAGAAGGGGTGTAGGTCCAGCAACCTTCTCCAGACACGCTCTGAGGTACACTGCTGGACCATCCTAAAGTAGTTGTTGCTACAGACTGTCCTTGTAAGCTCTCCTGCATTCGTGTCTGCATGGGTTGACAGACTGGGATGTACTGGGTGATGGGAGACGTCGAATGTGGCCACTGCGACTCAGGTAAGCTTCCTCGGTGTCTCGTACAAGCACTGTTCGTCGGCTTCACATTCACGGGTAAAGAGATCGGTTGTTGAAGGACCGCAGGTTGCTGAAACATTCGATACTGTTGCTCATGATTCGGGTGCTGTTGCTGGTGATTCGGGTGTTGCTGTTGGGGATTCTGTGGTTGCTGTTGGGGGTTCTGGTGCCACTGTTGGGGATTCTGGTGTTGCTGTTGGAGATTTTGGAATTGCTGTTGGGGATTCTTTTGCTGTTGTTGGTGATTCTGAAACTGCTGTTGGTGATCCTGGAACTGCTGTTGGTGATTCTGAAGCTGCTGTTGGGGATTCTGGTGCTGCTGTTGGAGATTTTGGAACTGCTGTTGAGGATTCTGAAGCTGCTGTTGGGGATTCTGGAGCTGCTGTTGGTGATTCCGGAACTGCTGTTGGGGATTCTGAAGCTGCTGTTGGTGATTCTGAAGCTGCTGTTGGGGATTCTGAAGCTGCTGTTGGGGATTCTGAACCTGCTGTTGGGGATTCTGAAGCTGCTGTTGGGGATTCTGAAGCTGCTGTTGGTGATTCTGAAGCTGCTGTTGGGGATTCTGAAGCTGCTGTTGGGGATTCTGAAGCTGCTGTTGGTGATTCTGAACCTGCTGTTGGTGATTCTGAACCTGCTGTTGGGGATTCTGGAACTGTTGTTGGGGATTCTGAAGCTGCTGTTGGTGATTCTGAACCTGCTGTTGGTGATTCTGAACCTGCTGTTGGGGATTCTGGAACTGTTGTTGGGGATTCTGAACCTGCTGTTGGTGATTCTGAAGCTGCTGTTGGGGATTCTGAACCTGCTGTTGGGGATTCTGGAACTGTTGTTGGGGATTCTGAAGCTGCTGTTGGGAGCTGCTGTTGGTGATTCTGAAGCTGCTGTTGAGGATTCTGAAGCTGCTGTTGGGATTCTGAAGCTGCTGTTGGTGATTCTGAAGCTGCTGTTGGTGATTCTGAACCTGCTGTTGGTGATTCTGAACCTGCTGTTGGGGATTTTGGAACTGTTGTTGGGGATTCTGAAGCTGCTGTTGGTGATTCTGAAGCTGCTGTTGGGGATTCTCTGCAGGGTGTACACTTGAAGATGACAGCTGTTGGTTGGGTAGGGACCATCGGCGTATCCCCACTTGTTGTCTTAGGCGTTGGTGTTGAGAAAAATGTGGATAGTACTGTGGTTGGTCTCGGTAAGGCTGTGTGGAAGGCTGGATAGGTTGTGGAGTGTTCGGAATGGAAGGCTGGATGGATTGTGGAGTGTTTGGAGTGGGAGGTTGGATGGATTGTGGAGTGTTTGGAGTGGAAGGTTGGATGGATTGTGGAGTGTTCTTCATATTGTTGTTGAAATCTAATACTTGATTTGCGTCTAGACTTTGGCATCTAAGAGACTTCTTGATCAAGTTCTTCCTAAGTGAAGCTGAAAATAAAGAGTTCCGTATTTAGTTGTTATTTGGCTGTTTGGGATGTCACAATTTCTCATTTTTGATAATGTGAAATACTTAGAAGCTGAAAACTAAACCAAATGTATATAGTGTATATCAGTACTGGCTTTGAGTGGTCGTTTTAAGTGTTTATATTGACGTTTTGTAAATTACTGTTGTGTTCAGAGCTACAGAGGAAAAGTTTACTTGTAAATAAATGTTGTTGTATGACACCGACTTGACATACTGACCTCTGTCCACTTTTAACTATTAGACCAAAAAACTATAATGTCTGCAGGTTTTGTCTACCTGTCAGGTTGAATTAGACAAACAACACCTTACCAGACGGCTTGTGATGATGACTATTAATAAGGCCAGTAAAAGACATAATTGTACTATTAACAAGTGTCATGAGCCATAATGTTTTGAAGGTCGGCTTAAAGTACATGTTATTCCTATTGATCTGAGTTGTCAACAAGTCAATTTAGGAACTTAATAATGAATATCAGTATATAACTAAATTGGTTGCTCATCTTTTTTTCTTTTTTTTTCACCTGGATCAGCCCACCTGGGCACAGGTCAATGACCCATATCAAGGCCTGGGGGGGGAGGGAGAAAATATACTACTACTACTAATAATAATAATGTCATATTGTTTCACACCGAAAGTGGTACAATACATATTTTTTTACCGTGTGTAACACTCGGTAAAAAAAAGTATCTTTACAATTCTTGTGCTCATGAGGCATACTGTTATTCACCAATGATGATGCAACGAACTACTTTTAGTTTCAAATTCATCGGACCACTCCTGAAAGATACTTTTTAGCGAGTTTCTCTACAGCACCAGTCAAGACCTATTAAAACTATGACTGTTACAAGGTACCTGTTGACTTCCTTGAACGTCCTTCAAGCTAAATCCCTTCTAAGATGGTGCTGATAGAGAGTTCCCCCTGTAAACTACCTAAGTGGTTTACCTGTTATACCAGGGTAGTCCTGAGAGGCCCCCTGGCTGGTAAATTGGTAGTGCCTCCAGTCGTCGTCAGGTTCCTTGGACAGAAGCCTTACTGACGGCGACTTCTTAAGGGCCATCCCGAAGCACTGTTTTGGGTCCTCCAAGCTCTTACGGCCTGGGAGACCTGCAGATAAACAAGGTAACCAAGAATATATCATCAGATGTACTTGATCAATCAGTCAATCAGGAAAGGCGTTCTCTGGGTTCCTAAGCCCAGCTGAAAATTACTGTTGTCACTATTCATGGTTACTCACTCCTGTACTTATAGAAGAGGTAATCAGTCACTCACCCCTGTATTCCCGATAGGCGTAGAACAGAGCCTGGTGTCTCTCTCTGTCGAAAGTGGCCCGACCTGCATGAAGCCACAAGACCCTGAAAGAAGACTCTTCCTTCTTCACCCACTGCAGGAGGTGGGTGTAGTTTCGATCCTCCAGATACTGAAGCAGGAAGTTCCTCACACTGGTCTTCTCAGGCGAGTCCATGCCCGTGTACTTAAGTTTTACCAAAGTAGGAATAATAAAGTCGTTTGTAGTTTGTTCTGTGAAAGTGAGATCATCATTAGTCTCTATATTTGTCTGGTTTTCGGGATTTTAATTTAGTCTCTCTCGTTCTTTTATATATATATATGAGAAAATGAGATAACTCAGTCTCTTTTTTTTTCTTCTTAGCGGAACTAGAGTAAGGATTAGTATTATTTTCTGCGGTGGTGCGTCTGGATTTTTTTTCCTCGCGTAAGTGGGATAAGTTTAATATATTATTGTTTTTTTACAGATATAAACTTAATCTAGTTTGTTTTACTAAATAGAGATGAAGAGATTAGCGTATTTTTTTTTTTTTTTTTGGCTATTATCATTAGTAATATTATTTTTCTTTGCGTCTGGGATGATAATGATGAAGGATTAATATAGGCTGTCCCACATATAATGACACCATATAAATAGGCTATATAATATACTGTGGCACCTGACCTATACTGTACACATTTGCTTGGCTATACCGCACACTTGAAATATTTACATTATTTCCATAAGTTACAGTAATAAAGATTTTAACATGAACATTGTGGCTTGATACTTTTAAAACTTAATTTGTAAATGCTTGGGAGACTCGGCAAACTTCATGTTTTTATGCAACAAGTTTAATAGTTCCTTTGTGAATGTGTATTTATTGTTACCTGTGTTTGTTACCTGTTACTAAATTTGTACCTGTACTTAAACTTGTATACCTGTACCTAAACTTGTACCTGTACCTGTATCTGTCTTTCACTATGATTTTTCGTTCTATTAAGTATTTATCTATGAAAATCGTATATTGTTTTCTGTATATGTAAATACACCAGAAAAAATTATTATTATTATTATTGTTATTATTATTATTATTATTATTATTATTATTATTATTATTATTACTGTGCATATAACGTTTCTTTAGTGTAAGAGCAAGAGGCCGTAATGGAGCAGTTCTTAAGGAGCAAAGTTAATGGCGTAATTATAACAAGGAGAGAGAATAAGAAGGCTGAGGCAGGCGAGGGTGAAGCACCATTAAGTCGTGTGTGAGCTTCCGGTTTTATTTCAAATGTAAAGTTAAGTAGGTCGAGAGGCTTTTAATTAACCTGCCGATATTCTAAGCTTTTTTATTATTTTTTTATCATTTTATAAAGCTTAAGTTAACTATTATCTTGTCTGACAAAGCGCTGGTGAAAGTCACGTTAAAAATTTACCGTGTTGCCATAGTAACGATTTCAGCAATGATATCACAAAGGGTGTTTAGGGGTTAAAGAAAACGGCAACATGAGACATTCTATAGCGGTGACTACAGTAACACAGTCAGTCACTAGTTGTATAGTTATCCTGCTAGGGTATCGGTTCGTGGGCAAGGTTTGTTTCCCTTGGATGATGCTGAGAAATTTGAGTTATTAATATTATTTCCTGTTTTGTTAAGATTAACTTTATTTTAATGTTATGTTAAGGTTTATTATTATCTATTTTATAGTTATGTAAATTATTTTATTCATTTTATTGTTACTTAAACTCCCCATCGTTTACAAGTGCAGATATATGAACAAATCCAAGAACAGGTACAGGTACAAGTACAGGAGTGGGTACAGGAGCGGGTACAGGAGCGGGTACAGGAGTGGGTACAGGTATAGGGTTCTTGGTCAAAAAAAGTGAAGAAATTTGAGAAAACTACAGTGGTGGAAAACCTGCCGTGAACTTTCAAAACAAATTCCTAATAATAAAAGACATAGGAATTAATTACAGCAAACATAGTTATATACTTCTGGCCTAATAGACGAAGGTAAATTATAAAGTAAAATTATATAAATGAGTAGATTAATATAAAAAAAAAGGGGTTATTGAAACAGATTAAGAAAGACATTAGGGTAGATTATAGAGATAGGTAAATTATACAAGAACATTATAGATAAGAAGACAATTCAAATAAGATCATTAACCAATCGTATGACTTACAAGTAGTTGCCATATAGAGCCAAATGTCTGTGTGTCTGTGTCAGAAAACAAAGAGAAAGAGAAGTAATGAAAAGGAAGAAGAGAATGAGAAACAGGAGGAGGAGAAGGAGGAGGAAGAGGAGGAGGAGGAGGAGGAGGAGGAGGAAGGAAAACAAAGCCACTAGAATGGTTTCATCCGGCTAAGTAGGTTGCTCAATAACTGTCATGGTATATTCTCCTAAATAACTCCTCCACTCGACAATAAAGTCTGGACGTCTAAATAACTCCAACTTTTAATAACAAGTCACTAAATAACTACAGTCGTTAATAACAAGTCACTAAATAACTACAGTCATTTAATAACAAGTCAATAAATAACTCCAGTCGTTAATAACAAGTCACTAAATAACTCCAGTCCCCATAATACGTCAGATATTATCTCCAGTACCTAGCAAACAAAGTCATTAAAACCTCCAGTAATAAAAACAAGAGTCACACGATAACTCCGGCACACAATGTAAAGACCTCCAATGTCACTGCCATGAAGACGACTACAGTACAACTATTTGGTTTATAATTTGCCCTCCAACCTTCCCTTGCAGCCATACCTTCGCAGTCATATTTCCCGCCTCTGCTGACGGCTGTGTAATAATATTTCAGTGTGATTCTGATCTTTAAAGATGTTAAGTTTTTGCATAATGTAGTTTTACTGATACGTAATTTGTCTTAGTATGCCTTATTGTGGGTAAAAATAAGTATATATTAAATGCGTCCTTCAGAAAGCATGAATTTGCGACCAGAGTTTAAGAGTTACTTCATGTATAAGATTTCTAATAAACTTCCTACGAGCTCATGTTTGAAATAATGAATGTATGTATCTTTAAATAATTTAGCTAAATCTCTTTCTCGTCAGAATCGGTCATCCCAACGATTATGAATAAACTCATTTTGAAATACATCATTACTTCAGGACGAACTCGAACAGATTTGCAACAGCCAATCAGCTGTAACTCTTGAGGGGGCGGGGCATCTATTCTCGGCTAGGAAAAAACGCACTGTAGTGTTAGTGATCAGTTACGAGTGAATCTTTAAAAGTTTCCTTAAACTGTTCCAGGCAGCTGCTGGCTATGTATACTGTATGCCCCTCTGGCTCGGACACTCAGGGTCCATATAGACAATGTACTCTAAGGTCAAAATGGCTCCTCGTCACCAGTTGGTGTTGACATTGCTGGCCAGGTGTCTCCTTAACCACCACACTAAACTTGCGAACCACCGTTGACTGGCTGACTGACTAGTTACTCGTGTACCAGACCCCTGTCGGGTGACACAATAACACTGTGAGAGTATCCGTGTGTTGGAGCTGTGCTTGTGTGTGTTGGAGCTGTACTTGTGTGTGTTGGAGCTGTGCTTGTGTGTGTTGGAGCTGTGCTTGTGTGTGTTGGAGCTGTGCTTGTGTGTGTTGGAGCTGTGCTTGTGTGTGTTGGAGCTGTGATGAAGGTGTACGGGGTGACGGGTTCTCCATCCCCCGGCCACACGCCCCAACACCATAGCTCTACCCCCTAAACCTGCTTCTCATCCGAACAAGATCTGCCCTGGACGTCTCGTCTGGCCTCAGGCATTCACCCCATGCCCAGACGATGATATCCCTGGACAACTTGACCTGCCAGTCAGTAACATCCCCGGGCCAACATGACCAACTTGTGTCTCCAGCTGGTTAGTGACCTCACCTCCAACTTGTAGTGGGAATTCTTGCCCTTGTATATACTTTATTGTGTGTTGGGAGGGGAGGGGGGGTAATGGTAAGCATATTCCTTATCTGTTATCTTGATACTAGAAAATCATCGTATTTAAGGAATTCCGGCTCACTTCACACCGGATTATTTGCGTAAGTGTTTGTTACGTACGAGGAGGTGAATCACGGAGAGCCTTGATCAAACTTGAAATACAATGTTGTTTCTCTTATCACTTAAGGTTCGCTATCACGTCACAAAGCACCTCAGATAAATCCCTTTACGGCAGGAAAACGTGAGTTACACAACATGCGTAATATGACGCATCATTAGCCTGCTATCTAATCATACAGTATAATGCCATGTAAATCGTTCTCGGGGCCCAGTATTATTGGTATGGCGGGAAGGGGACAGGGTTAAGGGATCGATAAAGAAACTTGCTGGAGGTGTGTGGTGTAAACAGTCCATGTGTATTCCCTCAGTACAGTAAAAATAGATGATATTAATGGATTTAGTTAACACTGTATAGTAAATGATGTGATTTATCTTAACTATATGTGTAATGAGTCTTAATTATATAGGGTTACGGTACATACAGTTGCCAGATAAGTGAGTGTCTGACTACTGCTTCGCTACTACTTGTCTCGGGTTCAGAGGTTCGAACTAGTGGCCGGGTGTTTTACGCGGAACATTTCCCGATTGTACGTATTGACACCAGGAATAAGTAACTGGTCGCCGTTTAAAAAGAGAGAAGATTACTGTCTCTACTTGGGCTGTTACAATCTCCTCTCCCTCTATTTCTCCATTCATGTAGAGTTCTAGACAATATAGCTAGTTAGTATTACAGTTTTAAATCAGACTGACTTCAACCTTGGAGGACAGTCTAACCTAGTGTATAGCTGTTTATATTTTCTACGTGGAGAGGGTCGATAATATCCAAGGTCATAGGTAGGTCAAAAGTCTTGTCCAAAGCATAATTGTTATTTTTGGACCAATACATTCAGTTATGTGTTTAAGTTTGTGGTCACAGTTGAAGGTTCAAATAAAAAAAATAATTGTTTGCATTAATTAATAGAAGACTATATTTATACGCTTCAGTGACCCTTTTCCAGATCTGTATTTAAATTTTTTTTTCCCCTCACGGTTTCAATCATTTTTCTCTGATTTCCGTTGTTTCAGTACTATCAGTCTTTATTTTCGTTATCTGCCTTCAAACGGAAAAATCGGTTTTCCTCCACGACTTTTTCCCTTTTTGGAGAAATTCGATTTTTTGGGGGCGAGTCAAACTAACCCTTGTATAATGGTATACATGTTGTCCGTGTGTTAGGGCACTATTACTCTGAACACAGTTGTGGTCC